TTTACAGTAAACGGAGTTTAACGGCCGTTAAATGGGTGTTAAAGTTGACTAATTTTATACATCGTCAACTTAAATTAGTATATTATTAGACCTATTAAAAAATTGATATTTGTTTTAGAGCAAAACAGACAGTTGGGTATTAAAATAGCGGGGTTCCCAAGAAAAACGATGAAAAAAGAAAATTTGATTTAATTTGATAATTGTTTGATAAACGTTACAGACTTTGAATGTAGACTTAAATAGCCAATACAAAGGGTTAGTAAAACTAGATGTATGTCTTTATGGATTGAAACCCATCGTAAGCCCATTACCATACTGAAGATCCATATATACCGGTAGTTGCCTTGTACTGAGATGCATTCTCCTCCAATCAAATGCATAAGTTGAGGTCTCTTGAAACTCAATAACTATAGGGGAACGGGGGTTGGGGCGATGAGCAAGAAAAACCTTGTAGTTATGGAGCATCGTAAACCTCAGAACCATTGTAAACTCTGTGTCGCTGGATAAGAGGAGAATGTTTGCAGGAGGAGGATGATTAATTATAAAGTCGAGCAAATGCGTAAGAATTCCCACGATTACAGCTAGGAAACTCACACTCAGTCGTTGTCTAGTCAACCTCGATGAAAGCAATGCCTTTCTCCTCAAGAAAAGCAATCTTCTTAATCACTCATCAAATCTTGTTTGAGAAATTTAGCACACGAAATCCATACCAATTCTATCGGTTTTTCATAATCATTTTTCGATCATCCATTTTTCTCTAAATCTAGAAGAACCCATAATAAATTATAGAAACCCATAACTATAAATCAAAAATCTTTATAATCAGTCATCCATTTTTTTTGTCTGAATCGAATTTGTTTGAGAAATTTAGCAAAGATATATACATACCTGATTCTTCATAAACACTTTTGGAGTCTGTGGTTTCGAAAGTCATCTTCTTTTTCGCTGCAACATGAAATCCATGAGAACTCAAGACATTTTATTTCAAACCCATAAGCAAAAATCACAAGAGATAATGAGCATACAAGTTTCGCTCTATGAAAATCCGATCTACTATTTATCAGATAAAACGT